CGTGGCCTGTGCACGGTGCGCAGCCGCGCCCTGGGCCTGGGGCTCGTGTCACCCGTGCAGCTGCGAGTGTTCCCGGTGCGCCGCGGCTCGCGCCGACCCGAGGGGGGCCCCGAGGGCAGCAGGGTCGGGGCCGAGGCCGAGCTCGAGGCCAACCCGTTCTACGACCGCTACCGCGACAAGATCCAGCAGCTGCGCAGGTGCGAGCCCTGGCTGGCTGGCGACGTGCGGGGGGCGGGGAGGAGGAAGGAGAGGAATGGGAGGAGGGGCAGCGCGCGGTCCCTGCTTATCTGCCTTACAGCTGCTCAGTGAGGTGGGCACGAGTACTGTCCCCACTCTATAGATGATGTATCAAGGCTCAGAGAAGTTAGGTCACTTGCCCAAGATCACACAGCTAATTGGTGTCAGAGCTGGGAGCTCTTTCTACGTTTGTCTTTGTGCTTTGGTTTTCAAGACGCTAAGGTGGACTCTTATGACAGCCGAGGCAGGCACCTCAGAGAGACCTGGCCTCATTGTAAAAGTGGGAGAATGCCTTCCAGAGAAGGGACTTGACTTGCTCAAGGTCACATATTGATCAACTGAGGCCTGGCCTAGAGCTGAGGCTCCCAGGCTCGTAGCTTAGGGCCCTGACTGGAAGGAAAAGAGATTGGGGATGGGTAGAGGGCATCAAAGACTGATAGTGTCACCGTTGGATCTTCAATTGAACCCTCGCAATAAGATGTGGAAACTGAGACTCAGAGAGAGTAAGAGCCGTGCCAGAGGTCACACAGCTGCTTGGGATTTGTCTGACTGTGAGTCCAGGGTTCTAACACTACCCCTCTGCTTCCAGAGGGAAGGATCTGGAGATTAAAGGGGGTTAAGCTGGATGTGAAGAGGCCATAGGAGGGTCTGAAGAGTTCAGGTAGGAAGAGCTGAAGGAGATCAAAGGTAAAAATTAAAGGGGAGAGAATTTGGCAGGGTAGGGCAGTCATCTTATGAAGGGAAACCAGAGATTAAGTACTGCAAATCCTTTGAGTTCTGTCTCACCTCTATTTCTGCTGCCTTAATTTACTCCTCCATCATCCTCACCTGGACTATTGCTGTCATCCTCTAACTGGTATGCCCCACTTCCATTCTTGGGCCCCTCTGCCCTAGTCCATCTCACTGCTACTATAGTGATCTTTCTCACTTTTTGAACAATGATGGAATAGATGAATATTTTTGCTCTCCTTCCAACAGCATTCAGATATTCTCAAGTATCTGTCAACTTAAAAGCCTTTCCTTGATCTACATTCCCCTCCAGCCTTCTCTTTGATCTCTCTTACTTATGAGCATCTCTAAAGAGATGTCTACTGTATTACAAATACTTTACCTGTACCCATTCATGAACAGATTTTTGCTCTCCTTCCTGACTAGATCATTTCCAGGACTTTTTTTTTTTTTTTTTGAGTTGGAATCTCATTCTGTCGCCCAGGCTGGAGTGCAGTGGCACACGGCCACCACAGCCTTGACCTACTGGGCTCAGGCGATCCTTCTGCCTCAGCTCCATCAACATTTATATATACTGTTATCTCCAGAGGAGTGAGATTTCCATGGTACCCCACCGACCTCTAAGATTCAAACTCCTTAGTATTACACACAAGGTCCTCACACTCTAGACCCTGCATATCTCTCTGTAGCATTATCTATTACCTAGACTTCCTTTGAGCACTATGGTCTAGCACAAAAAAAACTGGAAAGGAGAAATGTTCCAGGTAAAGGAAGCAGCAGAATAAACAAAAGTACAGAGGCATGAAACTACTTCAACCATTTGGGGGTGTTTGAGCAAATTTTCATTATACCTGTAGCGATCTTATGTACTTATTTACATGTCTGTCTCTCCCACTAGATAGTAAGAGGTAGGGACTTTGTCTTATTTATTTCTATATCCCTGGAGCCCAGCAAGAGCTCTGCTGCTCAGACCACCCCTCACCCTCTCTACTCATTCACCATGGCAGACCCAGGTGCAGCCGCTAGTAAGGGTGACCATGGTCTTGGCACAGGCTCTAATGATGCAGCCCCAAGCAGGCAAGTGCCATGCCCCACCGAGCAGAACCCCAGATATGGCTCTTCACTGAGGAGGAGCTGGCCCATTATGGAGAGAAGGAAGATCAGCCCATCTGCATGGCAGTGAAGGGAGTGGTATTTGATGTCATCTCCAGAAAGGAATTTTATAGAGAAGGAGAGAGGGGGTCCTCCCTATAAAGCCTTGACCAGGAAGGTCTACCAGAGGGATAGACAAGATGTCCCTGAATCCTATAGATCTCACCCATGGCACTATGGGTCTTATGGCCAAGGAACTGGAGTCCTTGGATGATGTCTTTACCAAAGTGTACAAAGCCAAATATCCCATCTTCAACTACACAGCCTGAAGAATTCTTAACAAAGATGGCACCGTAGCCTGGACTTTAAGCCTAAAGACCATCCCATCTTGACATAAAGAGTTCTGATGTTCCATCTGCAGGAGCAGGTTCTTTTGAGGATGGGTCAGGGAGATCCTAGATGCTAAACCTTCTGCAAAATAGGCTGCCTAAAGCCTCTGAATCACCAGGATCTGAGTAAAACAGATATATAACTGGGTAGGGGGCGATATGTCCAAGAACTGGTTATATTCAAGCAAACGCTTGACATCTAGAAAGAATACTATAGGATTCCTGCCTGAGGAGATGATCCAGCAAGATGACTTCAAAGTACTTTTCCCATCCTGAGGTTTCTAAGAACCTAGAGTATAAGTACCTGAGGGACCAAGCCCTTGTCACCTTAGTGAATAGCCTGCAGGATAAAATGTTACACAGCCCCCTTTAGGATTAATAGTTGAATAACTGGATTTCTTTTTCCACTTTCCTGATTTCCAGGCCTATACCCCAGTCCTTACTAATTGAAGGCAGATTCTTCAGCCTCTCTGAATGCCATTGTCCTTTCTCTGTAGAAGTAGAACATGGTGCTTTGTTATTTCAAAATCCAAAAAGGCCCAGGTGATTTTCCCTTTGCTTTACCTTTAATCAGGTCTGACCCAGCTGCTTTTGAGTCCCGCCTGGAAAAGCGCAGTGAATTTCGGAAGCAACCTGTGGGACGCTCCAGGCAAGGTGATTTTATCAAATGTGTGGAGCAGAAGGTAAGACCTTCCTCTATTTGTGTTGTTGGGTTATCACACTCCTTCAGCCTCCTTCCCTCAACCCTTATCTTTAAAGTGGATTCATTAATGAACAGAAACTAGTCTCTCTCAACTCAGTCTCCATCCATAAGTGTGTATCCTACTCTTTGTGAGCAAGATACTGTGGTCATGCTGGAAATACAGAGATATGAGAAGGGTATCTCCTGCTCCAAGTAAGTGCAGTCTAGTTGGTCAAGGCAAAGACACATGTGGCAGTGGGCTGTAGGGTTCAGGGAAAATTTCCTGTGGGAAGTGGAACCTGACCTAGGCTAGGAACGGTGTGTGAGTAGGACTTTGATATAGAGCAGAGGTCATCAAACTTGTTCTGTAAAGGACCAAATAGTACATTTTTAAGGCTTTGTGGGCCATATAGTCTCTGTTGCAACTACTCAGCTCTGCTGTTACAGTGCAAAAATAGGCATAGACAATAAATGAATGAGTGTGGTTGTAGTCCAATAAAACTTTATTTACAAAAACAGTTGGCAGACTGGATTTAGTCTGCTGACAACCAGCCATCTTTCCCACCTCCACTCCCATGTTGACGAATTTGCTTAAACAGATGAAGAGCTTTGAAAATAAAGAGGGCTTGAGAAGACAGTGAGGTACCTTACCCAATTAAAATGGAGTTAAAAATGTTAAGGCTAAAATAGGTTAGGCATTAAACTCCAAGCTGAGAGATGTGGGCCTAAGGAGTGGAGATAAGATAACTTAGCTACTAAGAGGATGAGCTCTGGAGCCAGATGCCAAGTACTGAATCCTATCTCTTCCACTTACTAGCTGGGTGACTCTGAGCAAATTATGTTACTTCTCCATGCCTCAGTTTACTTATCTATAAAACAGGAATAATAATAGTACCTACCTCATAGAGTTGTGCTGAAGATTAAATGAGATAATATGTAAGACTGTAGCCCAGTCTCTGGCATAAGTACTTAATACATATTAGCCATTATTATCCTTAAATAGGAATCAAAACTGGGGAAAAGCATGTTGAAAACTATGTCTAAGAAGATTATTCTAACACAGAATTTTTCAAACTTTTTGACCATAACCCACAGTAAGAAATGTATTTTACACTGCAATTTAGTATACATGTATGTATATGATTATAACTAAAACAAAATTTTTACAAAATAATGCCTACTTTTACAAGGTGCAGTTATGCCTTATTATTTTTGACTCTTTTTCATCTTTTAAAGAACTCTGGCCACAATCCACTAGATTGATTTCACACTATTATTTGAAACCTGGGGTGGTACACATAACAAATTGGAGTGGAGAGGCCAGAACCAGGGAGAATATGTAGCAATCCAGGTATGGGCTGCAGAGAGGCTGACCTAAGTAGTTACAGTGGAAAATTGGGATTCTACATTGTGTTTTAAGCTAAAATTAGAGGTGTTTATTTTACTTGGGAAAGACTTTTTTTTGCCTTGGTTATCCTCATTTTTAAGATAATCTACTCAGTCTTAATAACTAGTTGAGTAATAGTCAAGAGTAATAGTCAGTGGGCTAATTATCACAAGGTTGGGGAGCAAATTCAACCTCTATGACATAGTTTACAACTTGGTGTGAGCAAAGAACTCTCTACTACAAATATCTTAATAATTATCATTCCCTATAATAAGCATTTATAGTAGCAAGATTGCAAGTCAGTAGTTCTTGGAAACACTACTATATTATAAACTTTCAATATTATATGGAAAAGCTCTTTGCCCTTTTTTGTAAATAGACTTAGAAATTCAGCTTTATGATGATAAGGTAAGGTACAGAATAAGTAAAGATTTAATTTAAATTATGGTAACTCTTAGGTAAATACTCATTACTAGCATCCTTATCTAGCTAGATAGAGAAAGGCTGATGGCTAACCCATGCTCTCCATTCTCAAAGTCTTGTCTTTACTTTGAGTCATTGGTTCCCTACCACATGAGACTCAACCTGCCCTTTTTACAGTAACTTTTAAAGTTCTTTTTTTACCCTGAAATGAACAAAATACAGATATGTAAAAATATAACCTATTGGCCAGACTCAGTGGCTCAGCCTGTAATCCCAGCACTTTGGGAAGCCAAGACGAGAGGATTGCCTGAGTCTGCTGCCCGGGCAATTTGGTGAGACCTCATCTCTACAATAAATAAAAAAATAAGCTGGGCATGGTAGCGTGCGCCTGTAGTTCCAGCTACTTGGAAGGCTGAGGCAAAAGGGTCGCTGGAGCCCAGCAGGCCACTGCACTCCAGTCTGGGCTCCAACTAAAAAAAAAAAAAAAAAAAAAAAAACATATATATATATATATAAACCTATTGAATGCATGATTTCAGGGAGGGAAATCAATATAATGCCCTAGCCATACTGTAAATTAAAGTATTTTTTAATAAGATACATATTTTAGTCTGCAGATTTGGGGGCACAACTATTCTCTGATACCTAATGTAGTCATCAGATGCTTTCACTTATTGGTGAAATAACCATGAACATATAAGCAGCAAATGCTGACTGGTAAATAGGTGTTAGTTGGTAATTATAAAAATTCCAAAGCCATGAGCAGTGTTGTTATCAGTAACCTGAGATGCTGCAGTGCACAATCTTTCAAGTTATATAGTAGTTGCATTTCTTGAAAATTTAGTTTTTATTAAAGTAGTGTTGAAAGAAAACAATTATGTTCTAGGCCTAGGTAATTATAAATATTAAAATATAGGCCGAGCTCGGTGGATCAGCCTGTAATCCCAGCACTTTGGGAGGTAGAGGCGAGTGAATTGCCTGAGCCAGAGGATTCAAGACCATCCCAGGCAACTTGGTGAGACTTCATTTCTACAATAAATCAAAAATAGACTGCGCATAGTGGCACACACCTATAGTTCCAGCTACTTGGAAGACTGAGGCAGAAGGATCGCCGGAGCCCAGCAGGCCAACGCTGGGATGGCTGTGAGCATGCCACTGCACTCCAACCTGGACAACGGAGTGAGACTCCAACTCCAATAATAATAATAATAATAATAAAATATTATAGGTATTTTCTCTTATAGGAATATCTAGCTAGACATTGAAAAGTGCAGGATGAGGAAAAGTTCTTTTATGGTGTAGTACTCTTCTCATTTGGCATCCTTGCCACTCCCGTAAATGTAGATGTCACCATCCAATAAAGTATGTGTCAATAATAAAATTGTCCCCACAGATTTCCAAAACATCTGTAGGGAGAAGTAATGCTTCTGAGACTTTTGGCATACAGTTTCAACTGTTTTAATTATTGTAGAGATGAGGTCTTGCAGTTTGCAGAGTGGACTCTCAGTGCTAGTAGATGATAATTACTGACAAAGAAATCTCATCACCTCTGCATCCCAGAATCTTGGAGGAAAGTTGTTGTCTCACAAATAATCATTTTTAGAACAATATGTATAACTACTATAAAGATTGGAGCAGAGTGAATTCTCAGGAACAAAATTATTTAATGAAATTGAGCACCTCACCTAGCTTGGTGATCTTTTTCTTAGGAGTAAAGTGTAAATTAACATCTTGCTTCATCATGTATTTCAGACAGATGCCTTGGGGAAACAGCCTATGAGCAGAGGATTCACTAAGGACAAGGTAGGTTTTTAATTAAATACAGGAATTGAAGTCTGAGATCATATGGGACATCAATAATGAGTCTGCAAATTTGAACATATGTACTGTGGTTTAGTGATTTTGTGTAAGGTGATTTCATTTCTATGAACTTTTATATCCTTGACATGACCCCATCATAAGTGTGAAAGTTCTGGAGGAAATATGAAGGAAATGTAGTGAAACTTTTCCTTTCTATAGGGAGTAGTTTTAAAAATCAAACAAAAACATGTTTCACTAAATTTGCAAACAAGAAGTCATTCCCGGTAGAACAGCAGTAAATTAAAAATAACCAAGCTTTCTTCTCCTACCAGCTGCAAAGTGCTACAGGATTCATTGGTGAGGGTGAAGTATTTGGGAAATTCATGGTGACCTAATAGGTATTCTTTAGGACTAGAACCGTGAAAGCCTGTTTGAGCCAGAAGGGGTCACTTTCTCTGAGCATACAGATGTTGAGGGTTTTTAAAAATTCTCTAAGAGGCCTGCAGTAGGTTTTCTTATACTTGCTCTCACTTACTAGAAATCTGCTAGGCCGGGAACGGTGGCTCACACCTATAATCATAGCACTTTGGGAGGCCAAGATGAGAGGATTGCCTGAGCCCACAGGTTCGAGAGCAGCCTGGGCAACTTGGTGAGACCTCATCTCTACAATAAACCAAAAATTAGCTGGGCATGTTGGCTCAGGTGTGTAGTTCCAGCTACTTGGAAGGCTGAGACAGAAGGATTGCCTGTGCTCAGCAGGTCTAGGCTGTGGTGGCAGTGAGTGTGCCATTGCACTCGTCTGGGCAACAGAGTAAGACTCTGACTTTAAAAAAAAAGAAAGAAAGAAAGAAATCTGCTCTACTATCCTGACGTGCTTTCCATAGGCCTAGAGAGTTGAGATTATTCTTTTTTAATTGTAGGTGTTAATTGCTTTTTATTTTCTCTTTCAAGACTCTCAGTTCAATCTTTAACATTGAGATGGTAAAAGAGAAAACTGCAGAAGAAATAAAACAGGTAATGAATGAAAATGGGTTGACATACACTATGAAATGTATGGTCTGTGAACCAAATCTGAGAGTAGAAAGGAGCATATATTTTCTGACACCTCTTTCTAGCCATAATGAAAGGTAGTCATCAAAGGCAAAAGTGATGAATTACACAAAGAACAATGACATAAGGAAATTTGTCTTCCTTGGTCTCACTCTTGCATGTCTAACCAACTCGTATTTCCCCTTTCTTTTGCATTTCTGTTGCCCATATCCTATTTTAAATTATCAGTACCCTATAACTGGGTTACTGTACTGGTTTTCCAAAAAGGTTTTCCTGCTCCTAGTTTTTCCACTCCACTTCTTCAACTCAACCTCCCTAAGTTCTGCTTTCACTATGGAGAAACAGTTTTCCATCCTAGAGCTCTGCCACTTTACTAGCTCTATAACATGGACAGATTAACCAACTTCTCTAGGCCTTCATTTTCCTACTGTAAAGTGGAAATAGTAATAGTACTTTCCTTATAGAGTTATTTGGAGAATTAAATGAGTTAACATTTCTAAAGCACTTAGAATGATTTGCACAGAGTAAGTGCTATATTTGTATTTTTAAATAAATGAAAAAAAGTATTATGTTAGAAACCTAGTCACAAATGTCCAGTGACTTGCTGTATTCCTTTTTTGGCATTCTCTCCTGTCACAGAGCCTTCTACAGGAAGCTTCCTGGACACCTTCCTTCAAAGCACTCATGGTCTATCCTGTCTATTTGGTCATTTCACGTACCTTGGTTTGCATTGCTATTTACATTTTCATGTCTGTGATTCTGTTCTCTCTAACTAGACTATAATAAGCTATTCTAGCATTCTTTATAGTTCTATGAATTATATCTTATGTATATTGAGAGGACCAAAATAATAATAAAAGAAACATACTTTGTGTCTGGTACTATGCCTAGTGCTTCATAGACATTATTTCATTAAATTCTCTTACCACCCTGTGAAGTAGGTGCAGTTATTCCCAATTCCCAACTGAGGAAAATTTAACTTGAGGAGATTATGTAATTTAGTGGAGCTGGAACTCAAACTTATGTCTTTTAGATTCTGCGTCATATTTCCTTACAGGAAGTTGTGCCGGTTACCATGGGTTTCCTTTGTATGCTGTATCATTTATTTTAGCAAGCATTTATTGAATACCTATTAAATGTAAGGCTCTGTGCCAGACACAGATAAATGAGAGAATTCCATACCCTCAAGGAATTTTAGCTTAGTGGAGGCACAGACACAAAAACAAGTAAGATCAGCACAGGGTTCTAACTGCTGTTAATAAAGACTTATGCAGAGTCTGAGGGAGAACTCAGGCTGTGCCTTTGGGAAGAAGTACCAGTGGAACATGGACACAAGCATGTTGTTTAGGGGAGAGAGAAGCCTGGCCCAGAAGGCCTGGTCATATGACAAGTGTCATTTAAACCTATAGCTTTAGTTGAAATAATTTTTGAGTAACTCAAGTCAACTATATTAGGAAATGTCTCTCAGTTCCTTAAATTTTATTGTTGATTCATAAATGATCTGCTAACATCTTTAAAAATAATCAGAATATGCTGTGCTTAAAGTGAGAAGACAATGTTTGACATGCTTTTTTTTAAAAAAAGGCAAAGCACCTTTAGGCTGCATTGATAGAGTAGTTTGTCTAGGTTCTAGGAGGTAATAGTCTTTTTGTGCTCTGTGTTGGTTAGTGCTATAGTTTGAATGCTTGAAATGTCAAATCTCATGTTGAAATGTGATTCCCAATGTTGGAGGGGTACCTAGTAGGAATTGTTTAGGTCATGGGGGGCAGATCCTCATGAATGACTGATTCTCCCTCTGTTAGTTCACACAAGAGCTGGCTTTCTAAAAGAGCCTGTCACCTTCCTTCTCTCTCTTGCTTCCACTCTTACCATGTGATACCCCATCTCCCCTTGCCTTCCACCACGAGTAAAAGCTTCCTGAGGCCTCATCAGAAGCCGAGCAGATAGCGGAGCCATGAAGAACCATGAGCCAAATAAATGTCTTTTCTTTATAAATTTCCCAGCCTCAGGTATTCCTTTATAGCAATGCAAAACATATTAATACAGTTAGATAGATCACACTTTGATTATTATCTTCAGTTGGGGCCCCACATTTTAACAGGAATGTTGACAAAGCAGAGCAACTCTAAAGGAGGGTGACTCATTCTTTAACACAAGCTCACTCAGGTGTCAGCTTGGTTATGATGCCTTCACCTACTTCTGTGCCTTTGTTGTCACTCTCTGCTTTGAATGTGTCTCATTTCATTCTCCTCCCCTACCTGTTCATCCTCGCAGACTCCCTACCTACCATGCTAATTCCTGATCATTCTTCAGGTTACAGCTCATGTGTCCCTTCCTCAGGCATTCTTCTCTAACCTGGGTTAATTACCTCCTTTAGGAGCTCTGTGGCAGGAACCAAGGCAGGGACCAAATACATATTTCTTATTATGTCACAATCGTCTATTTTTCAACCAACATTTCTGAGTACTTTTGAGGTTGCAAGACATTGGTGACAACACAGGCAGACATCTGATGACAAGGGACTTGCAGATCAGTGAGGGAGATGGATCCATATGCAAAAGATCTTATTATGAAGAGCATATCCTAGGCATCTTTAGAGAGGTACAGAAGCAATTCACAAGAAAACTTCTAACGGAAATGATAAAGGAAGACTACGTAGAAGAAGATACATGTAGGCTCAGCTTCAGAGAACAGGAAGAATTTTGAGAGTCAGAGATGGGGAGAGAAAGGCTTCCTAATAAAAGCCGACAACATGAAAAGGCATAGAGGGCAATAAAAATAATGGTAGTAAAAAATATAAACACAAAGCATCCATATGCTATAATGCTAAGTGATAAAAATGATACAATATTGCATATGTACTACATCTGTATACATTAAAGAAAAATGTTTTTAAGACATACCGGAAAGAAATACATCAAAATAACAACAGTAATTTTTGTAATGGTGGTAGGACTGTGGGCATTTTTTCCTTTTCCCTATTTTTTAATTTTGCAATTTCATTAATTTTTATTCCTTAACTTTTGGTATTTGTATCATGAAGGTCAACTCCCTTGTTCTTTAGTGCTAAGCAGAAGCAGGACTTCTCATTGGTATATATCATAGTCACATCCAACATACACTATCTCTTCCACATATGGAAGACTTTCTGGAAGCAGAATTTCAAGAGCTGCCTATAATGTGCCATTAATTCCTAATAAAAGCTAACATTATTTGTAGCGTTTACTCTATGCCAAGCACAAATCTACATTATTTCAGCTAGTCTTGACAACAATCCTGTCAGGTTGATATTTGTATTTTATTGATGTTATTTAGGGAGTTTTCAGTAATCTACCTAAGGTAGCATAGCTAGTAAATGATGGGAACTGGGAGTCACATCCAAATCTGACTCCAAACCCTGAACTCCGAGTGACTGGTGTCCTGGCTCTCTGAAAAGACCCATCATTGGCTGGGGAGGTACGGGTGTGGGGAGGGAAGGAAGATATGAAAAAAAGACTGTCAATCATATACAAGGCAGATCTTGAGGGGAATGATTTCAGAAGTCATAGAATCAATTTCTCTGACAGGAATTTGTTACTAAGAGTTACAGTTTAATCACCTAGAAGAGTGGATTGTATTAAATCTTTTTGTAATCATGTAATAGTAATAAAAGCATTACATTGGATTTTTTCTCCTTGTTATCAAATAGCATATTACTCTGAGCAATGAAAGTTGTCACCATTTCTTGACGCAGTTTGAAAAGATTACTAACATGTCACAGATACCCTCTCTTTTTTTGTACAGATTTGGCAGCAGTATTTTGCAGCAAAAGATACAGTCTACGCAGTTATTCCTGTAAGTAGTTTGGAGGGGAAAATGAAAGTGTTACAGCATGAAGGTCAGTGCTCTAACCTTAGCAGGCAGTTGCCTTTACTTTTTGTGTTTATTGCCTCTTGAGAACTTGCATTTTACAGCTCTGAGGGTTTTTATTATGCCCTGAGCACCAGAGATTGGAAGCTCCATATGGTATATTTATGGCTCTTGTTTTCCTTCTTTGTGGTTTAGAAATGTCTCTGAGTCAAGTCTGTGACAAGGGAGCATGGTATAAGTTCATGTTACTGAGTAATTTTCAGATGTCTTTTATTTCTTTTTGGTGTTTTTCAACCAAGCTATTGTAATTTATGACAGAGACTCTAGCATAGCTTTTTTCCCCTTCTTGTCTAAAAGTGTTCTATACCTGAGCTGACTTGGCACCTCCTTCTAGTCTTTCTCTGGCAATTCTCCTTAGCAAGTGGCATCTTCTTGCGTTTTTTCCTTCTTAAAAGTACTGTCTTAAAGATAGTCACCAGCTACTGCTTAACCATTAAGGTCTATGACAGAGAAGGGATGCTACAAGTTCCTCTGGTTTACTATCTTTTTGCAGACTTCTACCATGATAAAGCATTTAAAGTACTGGATAATCAGCTAGTTTTTTAATTGTTCTTCCCTGAAGAAGGAGGGGCTTAGATTAAGTTTATATCAAGCACATGAATATGTACTGAAATTACTTGAGTAAGTGTAAGATTAAAGAGGAAAACAGATGGAAGGATAAAACCAGATCTTTTGGTTGTTGTAGGGTACCACTATCTTTTTTTTTTTTTTTGAGTTGGAGTCTCACTGTCGCCCAGACTGGAGTGCAGTGGCCGCTCCTGGCCACCGCAGCCTTGACCTGCTGGGCTCTGGCGATCCTTCTGCCTCAGCCTTCCAAGTAGCTGGAACCACAGTCGCATGCTACCATACCTGGCTAATTTTTTTGATTTATTGTAGAGATGAGGTCTCGCCTGCCCAGGTAGGTCTCGAATCCACGGGCTCAGGCAGTCTACTCACCTCAGCCTCCCAAAGGCACAAGATTACACGCTGAGCCACCCTGCCCGGCACCACTATCTTTTTTTTAACCACTTATACACATACACTCTTACCCTTCATGAGTTCAGCAGCCAGAAGAGTCTACAGTTTTCATGTTTTAGATCTCTGATAATGATGCATTTGACAGGCCTTCTCAGCTCTCCCTCAAACTGACTTAATGACCTGATGTCTCTGACACTTCTCAGAATTCCCTGGAGAGTTTGGTGCATTGATACACTTGCTCTTCACACATTCTGACAATAAGCAGCAAAACATATATCTGGTTTTTCCTGTCTTTCTGCCATAAGAGTGATTTGTAAATGATGAAACTTAAAAGATTGTTTTAGTTGTATTATAGTTCTAGAATTCAGTTTTGGTGAATTTAAGCGATTGTGGCCTTTTGTGTTTTTCTGTTTGTGAGTTAATTTTATTATTTCCCAACTTTCAGGAAGAGAAGTTTGATTTGATGTGGAACCGAGCTCAGTCCTGTCCAACAGTAAGTTTCTGATGACTATATATGGATTACTTATTAGTGCTGCCAAACGAGGATGTTTTCCAACCAATCTCATCATATTCCATACTCTCTCACATGTTATGGTGCTCTATTTATTTAACAAAGATGCTCACATGTTGATTTGTTCTGATAAGTGAGATTTGCAGCCATATGAAATCATGTGGGTCTTGCTGTAAGTCTGGCTTTTTAGCTCTCTGCCATATCTCAGTCTTTTCTTATGTGACTCTTAACCCATCCATATAAGTATATTTTGGATGGCACCTGAGACCTTAATCCTTTCAACCTCTTTTTTTTGGCTTTTGTTACTTTTATTTATTTATTTATGTATTTATTTATTCTGGGTTGGAGTCTCATTCTGTCCCCCAGACTGGAGTGCAGTGGCCGCTCCCGGCCACCCCAGCCTTGACCTGCTGGGCTCCAGCGATCCTTCCGCCTCAGCCTTCCAAGTAGCTGGGACTACAGGCACGCGCTACCATGCCTGGCTAATTTTTTATTTATTGTAGAGATGAGGTCTTGCCAAGTTGCCCAGGCAGGTCTCAAACCCGTGGGCTCAGGCAATCCACTCACCTCAGCCTCCCAAAGGCGTGGGGCTTTTGTTACTTTTAATTGACACATAATTGTACATTGTTCATGGATACAATGCAATATTTCAGTACATATATACAATATGTAAGGATCTGTCACCTCAAACATTTATCATTTCTCTAGGTTGGGAACATTCAAAATCCACTCTTCTAACTATTTGAAAATGTAGGTTAAATTGGTGTTAATTATAGTTATCCTATAGTGCTATAGAACACTAGAACTTACTCCTTCTATCTAGCTGTACTTCTTTATCTATTAACTAACCTTTATCTATTCCTACCTCCCCATTCTCCTTTTAGTAATCACAGTTCTATTTTCTACTTCTATGAGATCAACTTTTTTAGCTTCCACATATGAGTGAGAACATGTAATATTTTTCTTTCTTTGCCTGGCTTATTTCACTTAACACAGTGTTCTCCAAGCTCATGCATGTTATCATGAATGACAGAATTTTGTTCTTTTTTATGGCTAAGTAGTATTCCATTGTATAGATAAATTACATTATCTTTATCCACTCATCCATTGATTCCATAGCTTGGCTATTGTGAATAATACTGCAATAAACATGGGAGTGCAGCTTTCTCTTCAACATGCTGATTTTTTTCTTTTAGATATGTAACCAGTAGGGCGATTGCTGGATCATGTGATAGTTCTCGTTTTATGAGAAGTATGAGGAAACTTCATATTTTCTTACATATTGACTGTACCAATTTACATTCCACAAATAGCGTATAAGAGTTCTCCTTTTTGCCGCATCTTTTTTTTTTTTTTTTGTCTTTTTGATATTAGCTGTTCTAACTGGGGTGAGATCCTATTTTACTGGCAATTTTCTTTGTAGTTTTGGGTATTCTATCTTGGTAATATGTGCTTTAAAGCAATTATGGAGTTGTTGCTGGAGTAATGAGCCACCAGAAGGCCTAAGGTAAAGGGAGTGGGTGGGGTGGACTAGCTAATTTGGTGTCAGTAATGATTTCTAGGGTTTCAGAATTTTTTTTCAAACATTACTAAAAATAAAGAATACGTAAGTAAATGGAAATATATGACATGTTCATGAATTGGATGACTCAATGTTGTTGAAATGTCAGTTCTCCCCAAATCAATCTTTAGACTAAATATAATACCAGTCATAATCTCAATAGCCTTTTAAGAAATTGGCAGGCTGATTTTAAATTTTTATTTGGATATCCAAAGGACCTGAGATAGCTAAAAACAATTTTGAAAAAGAATAACAAAGTTAGAAGACTTACACTCCTGATTTCAAGATTCATTATAAAGATATGATAATGACAACAATTTGGTATTTGCATAAAGATAGACATATAAATCAATGTCTATATGTCTATAAGATATAGATCTTTTCTATGAAACAGAAAAGAGCCCAGAAATAGACATATATTTGGTCAGTTGTTTTCAACAAAGATGCCAAGAAATTAAATAGGGAAAAGAATAATCTTTTCAACAAATGCTGCTTATAAAACAATTGAATATCATGTGCAAAAAAAGTCAGTGTCTACTTTTACCTCTCACTGTATTAAAAAAATAACCCAAAATAGATTATAGAGGTAAATGCAACTTCTGGAAGAAAATAAAAGAGGACGTCTTAGTGATCTTGGGTCTGGCAAAGATTTCTTAAGTAAATTTCAAAAAGCACAAATGATAAAAGAAAAAAATTAGATTTCATCAAAATTATAATGTTCTATTTGTACACCTAAATAGCTGCTGTGTTCATAGCAGCATTAGTCATAATAGCCCAAAAGTAGAAGCAACCCAAGTTATATTTTAAAAAACTCTATAACTTAATAATAAGAGGGCAGACAAAAATGGACAAAAGATTTGGATAGCTCACTGAAGAAGTGCAGATGAGCACCTAAGAAGATACTTAACATCGTTGGTCATAATGGAAATGCAAATACAACCACTGCAAGATGCCATTAGAATGGCTAAAATTTAAAAAGCTGATTATACCAAGTGTTGGTGAGGATGTAGGGTTACTGGCACTCTCCTATACTGCTGGTGATAATATAAAATGGTACAATCACTTTAGAAAACAGTTTAGCAGTTTCTTTAAAAGTTAAGCATATACTTGTCATACTAACCAGCCAGTCCACTTCCAGATATTTTTCCAAGAGAACTGAAACACATTTTCATACAATGACTTGTGCACAAACGTTAAAACAGTTTTATTTGCAATAATCGAATACTGGAAACAATTCAAATGTCTATTGCAGGTGCATAAAAATTGGGGAAAGAGGGAGATTGTGTGTATACATGTACATACACATACACAATGGAGTCATATTTAGCAATAAAAAGGAATGAGCTATTAATACATACAACAACTTGGTCCTTTGTGAAAGGGCTGAGCCAGCTCGGTGGCTCAGCCTGTAATTCCGCGCCTTTGGGAGGCTGAGGTGAGTGGATTGCCTGAGCCTGCAGGTTTGAGACCCTCCTGGGCAATTTGGCGAGACCTCATCTCTACAATTAATCAAAATGAGCCGGGCGTGGTAGCGCATGCCTGTAGTTCCAGCTACTTGGAAGGCTGAGGCAGAAGGATCGCCGGAGCCCAGCAGGTTGAGGCTGCGGTGACCAGGAGTGGCCACTGCACTCCAGTCTGGGAGACAGAGTGAGACTCCAACTCAAATAAATAAATAAATAATAAAATAAAAAGAAAGGGTTGTATGTGCAAAGCAACCCCCAAATGCTGAAGGAGCTGAGAAGCTAAAGAAGGAGGCATATAAATCTAGTTTGTCAATATAGGATGACTTATCGGGGGAACTTACAAAAGAATGATCTTGGGCAGCCATAGGATAGGTGGATCTCCATGCTGAATCCCCCAGACCCAGAGCTTATACCTTGGGGAAAGTATATGTGCTCTGAAGGAATGTATAGATGACAACAAGCATCACAACCTATGATTTCTGCAACAGCATCAACAGTTGTTTTGGAGGAAACTTACAGTGAATAGGTGTTCCTACCTAAAGAGTAATTTATCAGCTAAACATTTTAGAGGCATTTCCAAACACAGGGTTAGTCAGAAGTTACATGGCAGATTAGCATTTAAAACAGTCACTCTTGTCCCCACGTATGGATATATCACAAAACAATTATCCTGAGTGAAAGAAACCAAACCAAAAACACATATTCTGTGGTTCCGTTTATATAAAATTCTACAAAATGCTGATTGACCTATAGTGACAGCAAATCAAATCAGTGGTTGTTTAGGGACAGTTGAGAACAGTGAAGTATGAAGGGGCCCAAGAAAACTTTTGGAGATGATAAATATGTTCATTATATTGATCGTGGTTATAGTTTCACAGTACATATGTGTCAAACTCATTAAATTGTACACTTTAGGCTGGGTGCAGTGGCTCACACCTATAATCCCAGCACTTTGGGAGGCCAAGGTGAGAGGATTGCCTGAGCCCACGGGTTCGAGACCAGCTTGGGCCAATTTTATACGACCTCATTTCTACAATAAATCAAGAAAAATTAGCCAGGCATGATGGCGCATGCTTGTGGTTTCAGCTATTTGGAAGGCTGAGGCGGAAGGATCTGAGCCCAGCAGGTCGAGACTGCAGTGACCGTAAGTATGCCACTGCCCTCCAGCCAGAGCGACAGAGTGAAACTCCAACTCAAAAAAAAAAAAATTGTACACTTTAATATCTGCAATTTCTTGTATTTCAAATATACCTCACTAAAACTAAAATATATATATTTGTTTTCCCTAGTAAGGGATCAGCTATCAGGTAGACAGTTTGTCCCATCCTGTAATAATACAATTACATGACTTGTGTGTATTGGGCTAATTATACTTTGCTTGTTCTGGCACCATTCTCTTCTCTACTATTCATTCCCAGTTCTAACATCTTGAGCATAAAACTTATTGTGTCTTGCTGTTTGTTTAGTCTAGAGCCATGCTCCAATATCAACTTCAGCTAATAGAATAAGAATTATAGCAATTGAAATAAAAGTTAACTCAGCAGCATTAGAAAGTTTAGAAATTGAAGAAGACCCAAGTGGTCATCAAAAGAAGGACGAATAAATTATGATAAATTTCTACAGTAGAATTCCATACAACAGTGAAAAATTCTTGATTTAGAATTATATTTATTAACATGGATAAATCCCAGAAGCATAATGTGAAGAAAACAAACAAGTTACAAAAGGATACATATACTTTGATAAAATTTATTTAAGTTTTTAAGCATGCACATATACATTAAAAGTATAAAAATATGAAAGAGAATGACAGACATAAAATGCAGACTAGATGTTAACTCTGAGATGGGATTGGAATAGGGTACGGAGGGAGCCTCAATTGTATCTCTAATACTTTCTTAGGTGGATTAAGAAGTGCGTGCATATTTGTTATCATTTATTAATTTCATAATTGAAAATGTTTGATAAACCAAATATTGAAAAACTGGAGTGAATTATATGAGTGGTTGGACATATAGCTAATGACCTCATTTATTCATCTCTCTCCTTATGTATCTGTTTCTCACAGTTTCTGTGTGCTCTACCAAGAAGGGAAGGTTATGAGTTCTTTGTAGGACAATGGACAGGTACTGAACTCCACTTCACTGCACTTATAAATATTCAGGTAGGTGGCTTGTGTCCTTCCTCTAGAAGAAAGAGGTCTACCCCTTTGTAGGATAGGGCCCTTGCTGAGAGGGCACAGAATATCTGCTGACTCCTAGCATTTTTTGCTGTGGCACTGATGCCTTGTACTTTGTTACGCTGGTTTTCAGGCCCTGCTCAGTACCTCAAAATTGGGAAGACTCCAAAACACCTTTCCTGACTACTTCTAGTTCTATTTTGTCTCTTCCCCTGACCTCCATTGCACTTACTACATGTGCCTCCCTTACCAAGCATAGCTAAGTTGTGATTGTTATATTTTTAACCCAAGCTATAAGCCCTTGAGGGCAGCTCCATGCCTTGTGTTTTTTTTTTAACCAAGTCAGTACTTTTCAACATGCTGCGTAAATGGTTTCCATGTAATAAATGTTATTTTATTTCCTTTCTTCCTTATTTCCTTTTCTTTTTCTTTTTTTTTTCAAATATTAGATTAAAAAGTTAGATTCAGGCCGGGTACAGTGGCTCATGCCTATAATCCCAGCACTTCGGAAGGCCAAGGCGATAGGATTGCCTGAGCCTGTGGGTTCAAGACCAACCTGAGCAATTTGGCAAGACCTCATCTCTACAATAAAAACATTAGCTGAGTGTGGTGACGTGCATCTGTAGTTCCAGCCACTTTGAAGGCTAAAGTAGATGGATCGCCTGAGCCCAGTAGGTCAAGGTTGCAGTGGCTGTGAGTATGCCACTGCACTCCAGCCTGGGCAACAGAGTGAGATTCCAACTCAAAAAAAAAAGTTAGATTCAAGGCATTTGAGTTTTTAAAAATAAAACCCAATATTTTAAACCAGGTCATAGCTAGGATTGTCCTTCTATATTTGGAGGCCAAATGTGACGAAAACAAGCATATATTATATTGGCTTTGAAATTAGAATAAAAAGGGGGCAAAATAGAATGAAGGAGAAGTTTTCCACTTTGTTATTTTGTAATACTTTCAACAATCATTTATTGAGTACATTAAGAACCAACATTTGATATACATATTCTGTGTCAGATGTTTTATATATACTATGTCATTTGATCCTCACAAATATGCTGTGAGATAGTTGTTATTATTTCTAATTACAGAGAAGATAGTGGGCTTGGAGAAGTTAGTTCACACTGCTAATAAATGATAGAGTCAGGTCTGAGTCCAGGTTATCTGATTCCAAAGTCTATGAACTTGATCATTGTGCCATTGTGTGGGGAGCTATGCTAGGAACTGAAGATCTATGAGACAAAGTCTTTGTCCTCATCGAGCTTATACCCAAGTATAGAAGATACAGAAACAACTGCAATCAAAATGACTAGTATGATACTAGAATTATGATAAAAAAATAATCAGTATAATATTAGAAGTATGTTCAAGAGAACTGAGAGACTAAACTGTTAACAGTACTCTAGTAGTACTTGAGATTTGATCACTAAAAAAAAGACAGCCACAATGACTTACTCCTGTAATCCTAGCACTTTGGGAGACTAAGATGGAAGGGTTGCTTGAGGCCAGAAGTTCAGGACCAGCCTGGGCAACACCGCAAGATCTCATCTATACAAAAAAAAAAAAATTATTCAGGCATGGTGACACGCACCTGTAATCCTAGCTACTGAGAAGGCTGAGGCAGGAGGGTTGCTTGAGCCTAGAAGTTCAAGGCTGTAGTGAGCCATGATCATGCTGCACTCTAGTCTGAATGACAGAGCAAGATCCTGTCCCTAAAAAAAAAAAAGAACCCTTGCTGAAATTTTAAAGATGAAGCCCAGAAATCTTTTGAATGTAGATGTTTCCTGAGGTCTAGTAACCACCTCCCTGACCATTCTTTATAAAATTATGATGTTTCCATTCTTCTTTTCCCCTTAACCCCATATCCAGATTATAGTATAAAGCTGTACATTATAAACCTGGCTCATGTGCAAACTCTCCAGTTTTTTCTACAGCTTAAAAGAGCTCAGTCTTCAGAACCAGCCAAGGGGAGTAGATTTCAGCAGTGAAATGCACTAGTCCATAAAAGTGGCAGTTACATAGGCACATTGCTTTCTTTAGAACTTGATTTGGTAGGTACTTGTGCCATTTTGTTTTAAAATGTATGGCCACAATGAAGGATTCACTGCCTACTGTAAACATTTTCAGGAAAAAAGCCAAACCTTTTCCAATTGAAGACACAAATAACAGTGTGCACACTGTCAGTTTCACTGTGCCTTTGCAGACCTGACCTTACCCCCACATACCAGTGCTCCAATTCAATAGCCACTCAAGGAACTGTTAAGAGCCAGACTTTCCTCTAGACTCTCTATTGTTCTGAAATTGCAGTTTGTTGTGATGTTGCCTTATTGATCCTTGACAATTGTTCCTCTTTGCAGACCCGAGGGGATGCTGCAGCCAGCCAGTTGATTTTATATCACTATCCTGAACTTAAGGAAGAAAAGGGGATAGTGCTGATGACTGCAGAAATGGATTCCACATTTCTGGTAAGAATTAACTTTTACCTCTTTGGATTTACCTGGTGGCCCTGAAGGTATTACTGTTCTGACAATGCTCCTGAGAGGTAAAATTCCAGAGAACTATGTGTACCTTGTTTCTTATTTGAAAGTTGACAATAATTTTGTCTTACTCAAGCTCTTCCAAGTTGAAGTTACTAAAGATTTTCATTTATTTACAATTCTGAAATCCACAGGCTCTGAAAACAAAGTTTTTTCATACTCATTTGGTCACAAAACCTTACCTGAACTTGAACTCATTTGGTAGCTAAATCTTTACTTAAACTGATATGACGCTATTTAAAGTTCTTATTAATCCCACTGGTGTGGAATGTTATGCATTTTACTAAGGAAATATTAAGAGAATTGACTACAGAGAATTGCATAATGTACAGGTAAACAGTATCTAGACCTATTACCTTTCTCAAATCCAAAAATTCTGAATCCAAGATACATGATATATCAGGCCCCAAGGGTTTCAGGTAAGAGATTATAGACAAGTAAATGCCTTCTTAGTTGTAGAGAAGAGTTCAAAGCCTAGGATAGTTCTCAGTCTTTTTCATCTTCCTCCACACTGTTCATTTATACAACATTCATTATACATAGTGATTTCTTTTCTCATTTTCCCATTCCCAGATGAGAATCGCTGGGATAGAGCATCGCCATATGCCCATAGTTAGTGATGTCCAGTGTGGTCTCTGCTCAACCAAGTGGCAGGAACAGCTTTATGATTGCTGTACAACCTGTTTGTCTGGTCCTTGCTCATTTATCTGGCAGAGGTTACATTCAGGATGTTCTCAAAATACAGACATTTCAGAACCTCTTCCCCCCAGAGTCATTATTACAACACCCACTTATTTTTTCTCTCTCTCTTACCAGCTACACGGGGAAAGAAGAAGTGATAACACTCAGCTAGGATCTCACAGTAGCAGTAGGCCACAATTCTAGGACACAATTGGGATCGATTTTCCTATCTATTATTCTTTAAACTAGCCAATCCCATTTCTCTCATTCTTCCTTCCACTTAAACCCTTTCATTCATCACATTCAACTGGAAGCTACCCAAAATCCTATCCAAAAATATGGAGTTGCCTTTAACTAACTAGGCAAGATTGCATGAGAAACAGGTGGAGGAAACTCAGGAGCTCACTTTTGGACCTGTTAAATCTGAGATGTTTATTAGATTTCCAAGTAGTAGGCAATTGGATATATGAGCCTGGAGGTCAAGGGAGAGGTCCAATCCAGAGATATAAATATGAGAGTTGTCAGCATCCACATTGTATTTAAAACCATGGGACTGAATGAAGTCACCAAGGAAGTAAGTAAAGATAGAGAAGAGGTCTAAGAACTGAACCTTAGAGAGATGAAAAAGCATCAGCAAAGATTAAGAAGGAACATTCATAAGGTAGGAGGAAAATTAAGAAGGTGGCATGTCCTAGAAGCTAAGATAAAATGTTTTAAGGAACAGGGATTGATCAACTGGCCAAGTCTCACTTGCTTATGAGGCAAATGAAATAAGGACTGAGAACTTACTAGATTTCACAAACATGAACGTCCTTGGGGACCTTATAAGAGCAATTTCAAAGGAGTGGCGGGATGAAAGTATGATTGAAGTAGATTTAAGAGAGAATTAGAAGAGAAATTAAGAAGATTAAGCATTAAAAACTCTTTCAAGGGACATATCTGTAAAGGGATGGAGAAAATGGGTCATTAGCTAGAGAGGGAGAAGTGGAGACAAGGGTATCTTTTGTTTTAAATATGGGAGAAATAGCATCAAGTTTGTATGCTGGTAGGAAAAATCCAGTAGAGCGTGAAATATTGATAATACAAGAGAAAAAGAGGAGAAGTGATATTTTTGAGTGGGCAAGTCTGGGAGTGAAGGGTTGATCTTTGCCAGGAGAATAATAACAGGAAAGAAGCCAGAATGTAAGGACACAGATTATATTCAAATGGGTGGAGATAGTCATAGCTTGTATAAGTTCTCTCCAGATTGTTTAGTGAAAAGAAAGAACAGTCATCGGCTGAAAACAAGGATGGAAAAATATTGGATCTCTGAGTCAAAAAAAAGGAAGTAGAAGTTGTTGTCAAGAACAGGGGTCAGCAAACTATAGTCTGTGGGCCAAACTCAATCCACTGCCCGTTTTTTTTAAGGCATTCTTTATAAGAACGTTTTCTATGTCTTTAAATGGTTGGGGGATGGAACCTAAAGAAAAATATTATTTTGTGACATGTGAAAACTGTATAAAATTCAAATTTCAGTGTCTATAAGCAGTTTTTTTTTTTAAAGATGTGGGATACAATTCAGGATTAGGTATACAAGTAGTCATTAAAGATGTAAAGTTTGGTCTATAAGCAGTTTTATAGGAACACAGCCAGGATCATTTATCTGTATATTATCGATGGCTGCTTTTGCTCTACAACAGAGCATTGAGTAGGTATAAGGCCCGCGGACCCTAAAATATGCATTGTCTGCCCCTTTACAGAAAGTGTGTGCCATCCCATGGTCTAGAAAATGGAAGAGAGGATGGTGTGCAGGCACAGACACAGAGAGAGTGAGCTGAGAGTTGGACTTAACTAGGGTTATGGTTTAGCCAAGTGATATAATAAAGTAATTGAGTGGCAGGAAGTTAAAGGCAAATGCAAAGGAATCATTATTGACCATGGAATGGAACTGGGTAACAGAAAAGTGAGAATAGAGAGATTAGAGGCAGTAAGAATTATGAATCCTACTAGGGTTGAAGGATCATTGGAGTTCGGAGTAAGCTAGAAAGATAGGAAATAACAGACAAATTGGTGGGAATATAGTCACAATAATGATAAGGTTTGATTGGATCAAAGGAGCAAATTAAAGTATAGATATTATACTATATTTTCTGGACTTCAGCAAAGCACAGTTAGATACCATATGAAAAGTGGATCCTAGAGGTTAGAGGAGGCCCATTCTGCTTTTTGACATTTTTGCCACCTCACTCTGGTGGTCTCAAACTGCTGCACGGTTCTCATCATCATTAAAATGTACTTCCTGGCCTTACAACATTTGACAGCATAACAGACAACATGTATTTGCCTTGTATAAGTCAGCTTGAGTGTGAGGATCCATTGCAGTACAGAACTAGGACTAGACACGTTAGGATTTATTGTAGAGGTACATGATTTAAAGAAGAGAAACCTAGAGATGTCATATGAATACATGAACTCTTGCATACTCATACTCATGCACAAATTGTGCACTTCAGGCATAGTATTGCTTTTTTTTTTTGAAGATGGGGGTACAGTTCAGGGTTAGGTATGCAAATGGCCATTGTACAGGTAAAGTTTGGGTCTCACTTTGGTCCCCATGTCACCTGGTTTGAGATCAGGTACCCTTACTGATGGAGTGTGCCCCCCCACTCCCTCCCACTACTGAGTATTTCTAACTATGGTAAAGCGATAACCTCAAATACATAGAAATACATGGAAACTAGAACTGAACTAACTTTACTACTGAGAAGCTAATAGAATATTCAAAAACCTAGCCTTATTTGGCTCCACATATGTGTCAATAGATGATTTCATTGAAATGTATTAAGTACTAGGATAGAGATATGCAGGGCATTCCGCAGGGTGGGCAGGTGGTATCCCTGGAGATGACACTGGGCCTAAACCTTCAAAGACCAGCAGGAATTTAGCCAGATAAAGAAGAAGGGACAGTGGGGGAAATGTTTCAGATAGAGGGAATAGCATAAATAAGTGCTAAGAGGTATAAAATGACTTGGAGTATTACAAGCAATATAGTTTCACTGGGATATACACACACACAGAGAGAGAGAGAAAAAGAATGCAAGAGAGTGAGCAAGTAAGAGCGAGAGAATAAAGTTTGGGGGGTTATTTAGAGGTATGACATAACTCTAAGGGCATGGAAGAGTCATTAAAGGGTTTGAACAGGAAATAACCCATAAAGAGTTGGATTTTAAGAACATTAGCCTTAATTATTTGCTTCCTAAGCATTCTGTAGCTCTAGTCTGATCAATGTGATCATTTAGAAGACTGTTGCAATAGTCTGGACAAGAGGTGTTGAAGACCTGAGCTAGAGCAGTAATTGTAAAGATGGAGGAGAGAGAATGTCTCCAGAAAATAAAATGGGCAGGACTTGGTACATTGATTGTAGATATGAAAATTGAAAGGGAAAAAGGAATTAAGTTTGTTAAAATACCTCTACCAAGCAACACAGAGAGTTAATTGTTTATCTTCCTGGTTCTTACACAGGATGGAGCCTATTGCTTCATATTAAGAGTCCAGAGAACAAAAGGCAGTAGGTTAATGATGGTGGGGGGCTTTCCATAACCCTCCAGGAGACAGACAGATGGTACATCTCATCCTGTCTTATCTCCCTACTAGTAGTCTTTACACTTTTTTTAAAAGTAGTGGGAGGATCCCTTTATCCAGACAAAATCTTATTATGTAAAACCCCAGGATGTGACAGCTAAAAAGGTAAAGGAGCCTAAGGCACCTCCACAGAGCTGCTAGGACTCTGCAGAATAGTTTGAACAGCACTCTTCTAGAGTGGACACAGCTGAACTTACCCCTACCTTTGCCACCCCAGGCTTCAAATAAAGGCTGAGATTAGAGACCCTGCAGCTCAGGAGCTGAGAGAGTAAATGGTGGTATCCACCTCAGATTATGACAATGCATTTGCTTTAGAAATGGTGTGCTCTTACTGGGCGTGGTGGCTCATGCCTATAATCCCAGCACTTTGGGAGGCCTAGGTGAGAGGATTGCCTGAGCCCATGGGTTCGAGACCAGCCTGGGCAACTTGGTGAGACCTCATCTCTACAATAAATCAAACATTAGCCGGGTGTGGTGGTGTGTACCTGTTATTCCAGCTACTTGGAAGGCTGAGGTGGAAGGATTGCCTGAGCCCAACAGGTTGAGGCTGTGGTGGCTGGGAGCACGCCACTGTCCTCCAGCCTGGGTGATAGAGTAAGACTCCAAGTAAAAAAAAAAAAAGAAAGAAATGGTTTGCTCTTGAGGCACGTGTGAGTTTAAGAAAGGTAAAATGAGGCTGGGTATGGTGGCTCATGCCTGTACTCCCAGCACTTTGGGAGGTCAATGCAGGTAGATTGCTTGAGCCCAGGAATTTGAGGCTGCAGTGAGCCATGATTGTGCCACTGGACTCCAGAATGAGACCCTGACTCAAAAAAAAAAAAAAAAAAGATAAACTAGATGGAGTAGAGTTATCAACCTTAGTCAATCTTAATTATCTTGCCCACCAGAAACAGTAGCATAGTAAAGTAGAGGGGATCCCAGCCTAAGAGTCTAGAATTCTGGTCCTGGCTCTGCCATTGGCTAGCAATATGACCTTGGGCTCGTCCCTGAACCTCATCTGCCTTGGTATCCTAGCCTATTAAATGAGAACTGGGTTATCTCTGAGGTCCCTTCCAGCTCTAAAATCTATTAATTCGAAGTAGCCAGCTTTTTGGGGAAAAGGCTTTTGATTGAAGATGCAGTCTCAGAGATTAGTGCCTGCTTGTGAAAAATGACCTGAAAGTTCCACAAAGGGAATAGAGGTGAAGCGCAGACTGTGGTATTTATAAACCCGTCTTCATCATTCTCTAGCTAGACATAGCACACTTTTTGCAGTCATTTTCTAGTGGGGATTTTCCATTATCTTTTGCTGCTTCATTTTGGTCATATGAATACAGTAATAATGGATATATATCTGACCAACTAGAACTGCAGAGTATATAGCAGCAGTAAGAGTTGTTTGAGATGATTCTTTTGTAAGCTTTTGAGGGTATAGCCTGCATTCTAACCCCCCACTTCCGTCACATAGAGTGGTCTACTCACCATTTCCCTGCTACTGAACTTTAGAGAAGATTGCCCCTTTTCTACCCTTAGGCTTGGCTGGTGTATTAGTTATAAATATAAATCGTTGCATAATAAATTACTCCAAAACTTAGTGGCCTAAAACAACAAACATTTATTACCTCACAGTTTCTGTGGGTCAGGAATTCAGGAGCAGAGGAGCTCAGCAGTTCTGGCGCAGAGTCTCTGAGGTTGCTGTCAAGACGTTGCCTGGGGCTGTGGGCATCTGAAGGTTGATTGGGTATGAGGATCACTACCAACTCCACTCACATGGCTATTGGCAGAGGCCTCATGTCCTCAGTGTGTTGGCTTTTCTATAGGGCTACTTGAATATCCTAATGACATAGCAAATGATTTTCCCTGGAGTAGGACAGATAGCAAGACAGAAGCTACAATCTTTTTTTTTTTTTTTTTTGAGTTGGTGTCTCACTCTGTCCCCCAGACTGGAGTGCAGTGGCCGCTCCCGGTCACTGCAGCCTCGACCTGCTGGGCTTCAGCGATCCTTCTGCCTCA